TTCAAAACAGCAGTTTCTCAGTTCTTCACAAAGAGGGCAATCGAAAATAAGAATACAAAACCACAAAGAGAAGAATACAATGAATAGAACGTCATGAAAATAAAAGACAGCTGATGAAATAATCAATTTGAAGTAATGGTAAAAGAAACACACACAAAAATAACAATCAGGTTAAAGTCATTTGGTGAAATGAAAATGAGGGTTTACATTCAAAACTGGTTTCTGAACAAAAAACAATTGTCGAGGCCTAATGTACCTGCAGTTTTTATTTTACTTATTTATTTATTGTTATTGTCATATTACTGCTGTCATGTGCTGCAGTTTTTATTTTTTAAAGTGCTACACATATAAAGTGTTTTATTTTTTATTATTTATTATAACGCTGACTGGTTTGCTTACATCTATTCATTTCTTATAATAACGTTAATTCTACGTACAAAAATAATTCACGCTTCTAATTTGCGTTTCTTCTGAAAGGTGAAAGCTGATTGGTGGATGTATTTTGGGCTCGTCTCTGATTGGTCGGCACCGGCTGCACCTGCAGAAAGTTAGTGTGTGGGGGTGAGAGTGGGCCGGACCATCCTGGAGGGGAGGAGGGGAGGGGGGGTGCAGGAAAACAGAGGGAGGAAGCTGAGAGCCGCCGGACAAGTTTCCACTTTCTACCTTTGTTCGGAGGAGTGGAGCGGTCCGGGGAAACTTTCTGCTCACACATGCCGCCTCACCTGTCGCAGCTCCGGACCGGAACTCTCACCTAGCCCGCCGCGAATGGAGGAGAAATGGCGGCGCGGCTGAAGAGAACCGGGAGCGAACTTTTAGAAGTTGACATATGCGGGTCCGGCGGTGGTTTCCTGTCCGAAGACGAGAGCGGCGTGTTCGTCAACTCCGCCGCCTCCCTCCAGGACGACTTCCTCGGCTTCCAGCGGTGGTCGAGCCCCGCCGACGAGTCCCCGAGTGACACATCATCACCTCCCGGGCGGCGTGAGCAGCTCCCCGGAGGGCACACGGCTCCACCGCCGCTGCTTTGCACCGGTGCTGCCGACAGCAACACCACCACCACCACCAGCACCGGGGACCCCGAGTCCCCGTGTGATGCACTCAAAGCTCCGAGGACCTCCATAGTGGACTGTCTCCTGGTCGAGCTGTATGAGACGTACAGCGGCAGGAGGAACCTGGACAGCTGGGACAGCTCCACCGAGGCGTCCGGGTCAGACGCCTTCCTGGGCCGCAGCAACTCCGGGTCCAGCTTCCTCCAGGAGCTCCAGGAGAAGCACACCAGGCGGCATCAGATGAACTACCTGGCCCAGAAAGGTGAGGGGGGCGCGGGTAGGAGTGTGTGTGTGTGTGTGTGTGCTGCTGCGGCTCTTTCTCCATCAACATCTGGGTTTACTGTAAAGTTTCAATAACAGGTTCAATATCAATAAATATAGATAAGAAATAAAGTTCCTAAGTTCCTAAGTTTAAAGTCCTCTTCACTTTTTTGGGCTGATATGTTGGATGTAATATAGTTTGATGTTAAAAAAACAGGTTTATATTGTTGATATTCTGCAATAAGAATATAAGAATTCAGTGTTTTTGATGTTATCTGTTTAAAACTGACACCATAGTTTCCTTTTTATCGCTGATGTGTGAAAGCGATATCGGGAGTTTGCTGGGAAACTTTGAATATTTGTTTCACTGCTACAGACAATCTCAATCAAAACCATCAGCCCCCTCGTGATATCTGTGAATTCTTTGAATCCTGTTGATTCCACTCCAGCCTCTGTTTATCTTTGAACGGTTTATATAAGTGAAAGGCAAAGAAATCCAGAGCCTCCAGGCCCCCGATGAATGAAGACAACATGACACAGATATGCATTATGTGGAAATATACACAGGTCGAGCAAATTTAAAGTTAAAAAAGGACGTGGATCTGGAGATTAGTTACAGTTACACAATTACAGTATTGTTTTTCAGGTCATTTAGGAGGAGAGACGACAAACAGAGGAGAAGATATGAGACAAGGATTTTCAGTTTTGTGATCTACTCGAATATCCTGCGACTCCTTCAATAACACCATCTTGTTAACAATGGCTCAGTGTGATCAGATCTCACAGGAAGGTATCCAGAGTATGCAGAACCTTTTCATTCACACACACACACAGGCTCGGACTCAGACGGTCATTAGTGTGTCGGCAGCTCGCTTTCTAACGTTGCCACAGAGTCTTTAAAGGCACGTCAGTGTGAGCACCACGCCGCCATTGTTTTCTCTGTTAAGGTGGAATCTTTCAGTAAACACAGCCCGGGCTGCTGACTTCCCTGTTTGCCCTCCGCACATGTGAGGCACAGTCAAGTTAAACAATGCAGAGTGCCAGCACAAGAGGAAGAGGACGGCCCCTGATCATGACTCAAAGAACAGTGAACACTTGTGGCCTCTGTCTCTGCTGTGTGTGGTCGCAGTCTGTTTGGTTAAATTATTAATCTGTTGATGGGTCAGCAGTTAATTAGTTAAGTGCACAATTTACTTAAATATCCTTATTGCTCCAAGGTATGAAGGAGATTGACCTTTGACCTCCTGGAGACGGTGAACTTGGGGTAATAGGGAAGCACGATATGGATTTTTTTTCAACCAGTACCGATAACCTATAAGCTTTGGCTTCACTTTTCTGGATATTTACGTACAAGGAGACATAGCATTTGTTTTCGATTGGCCTGATGATGACGACTGTGGCGCAGATGACAGTTTCAGTATTAAGTTATTTCTTCATTACCATGATCCCTGATCAGAGCTCCGATGTTCCTCAGCCTAAAAGGTTTTCTCTTAATGGGAGAAACGTTTGTTTGTGTTGGGGCGACGCTCTGGTTTTCATTTCCACTTCGCTTACGGCTCGGAAAACTAATGACTGTGATGTTCTGATCTGTCAGCAGCAAGCAGACATCACATCCAAACTGTATCAGGTGGCTTCATTTAGATTGACATCATATTTTAGAAAGACGTGTCTGAATATATATCTCTCTCTGTTTTGTTTCTGAACAACTGAAAACTATTTATAAATCACGCAGCACGTGCAAGAAAATATTCTAAAGAGTCGACGAATGGCCGATGCATTTAATTGCTGGTGGAAAATATCAGACGTGCATCTTTTTACCTTGTTCACATGATATTTCTGAGTGTGTTTCAGCTTGTTTCAGACACTCTTTATACACCAGATGTAAAGTTTCCCTGTTTGAACCTCAGAAAACAACAGGAATGAAACATCCCCATCGGTGCGGATGAGGCCCTGATTAACCCTGATTTCTTTGTGCTCCTTCAGCCCCTGCGGAGCTGCAGTCGATCATCCAGGAGGTGAAATATCGCACAGGCCTGCAGTCGGCCAAGCTGATTCGCCAGCTGAAGAGACGAGACCGACTCTGTCACAAACTGCAGAAGAACTACGACATTATCACAGCGTGTCTTCAAGCTGTCTCACCAAAACGACGTAAGAATATACTGTTCTCTCTCTGCGGTTGTGGTTGTTTATGACTGTCAACTGTCAGGAGGAAGTACTTGGACAGGTTATTGTATGATTTCTGTAACTGGTTTTCAGCGTCTGCGAACAAATAACATCAGACGCAACTGCAGCTGTTTTTAAAGCTGTTGTAGCCCGTTCATATTTTTATTAGAAGCAAAATAGCAGCACAAACAAAACGACTCATTTCTTCTGACCCAGTTAAAGTCCCTGAAAAACAGGCACAGAGAAGTCAGTGGAAATATATATTTGTCATGTTTTATTTTTATACTTTAATGTCACTTTCCACAAATCTTTAGTACAATCAGTTTCTCTGCAAAACAACCACAGGCTGCAGTCAATTTAGAAATAACTTTCCAGTGCAGAATGCCACACAGCATTGTGTTCACTAGTTGTCGTATCATACGCTAGTATGAAAATTACTGTTGTGAATTTACATAGTGGACTTTGAGCCAGACCCAAAGTAGTGGAGCGTGAGAAACTGTATTTAAATGTTCATATCCCAGCCTCTCCACTCTTCAACCTTGAAGCTGCTCCTGCAATAATCCAGATGCTCTGTTGTGTAAGAGATGTTTGCAGTAATGAGGCCGATAAGGATAAAGTTGAGGTCGCTCAGGAACGTATACCAGGTCTGAAAAGGGCCAGTGTGACCTGAAGGCCACAGTTTGTTCTCCACTGTGACTGGAAAGGTTGAGGGGGTGTTCAAGCTGGCTTCAATATGCATCTTCATCACTAGATGTCACTGCACACTGTGTCAGCTGACACCTCTTTAAAGGATTCTCTCTCTGCGTGTGCTCGGGGGTGGTTCAGTGTTTGTTGTTGATGTGAGGGAAAACTTGAAGTTGCCTTTTTTTTTTAAACTGTCATCTTCTCTCAACACGCAGCGCGGAGGCTCACATGGAGGTAGGGTGTAAAGTACTTCACTAAAAATGGGTATTTCAGTTGTTTTTGCAATATGAAGAGATAAGTTCTGTTTGTTTAATCAGCCGTAACACGGGACTACAGATACACGTAATAACTGCAGCAGTGTGACGCTATCGTGTTCTCCATCACAGAGGAGAAATGAAAAAGAACTTACTACAGCCTCCTCCTGCTTTCTTCACAGCAGGAAAGGCCACTTCCTCACTGATAGCTGTTATCAACGGAAACACTGAGACTAGACCGAGCAAAGGTTTGTCTTGTTTTGGGGTAAAAAGGTCGTGATGGTTCATTTTAATGATATCTGCTGAAGTTTTTCTTTTGAGTAAAACTTTCAACAGCCGCTTTGCTTTCTTTAGTGATATCTCTTAAATGATGTCAATGCAGGGTTACCTCTCTGAACTCTATGAAATTTCCAAATCGACACGAAGGAGGCCAGATATCAGCAAACAGCCCTCTGACACTTCTCTTCTTTGACGCAGCCTCAGGTTGAAAATCTGAGCGTAGATCCTTTTCGGTTCTTCTCGTTAATATCAAAAGTGAAATGAACAGAGATTGTCTTTTTTTAAACACGGGTAAGTATTGAAGTATACGGATACTTTTCACAACCTTACTTGTAAGTTATTAAAGATCCTTAAAATGAGTTCTGAGGTCAGTGTGAAGAGGCTACAACTGGGGTGGTATCTTAGGTCTGAAGCCGCTCTACCGATTTTCTACTGAGGCGTTTTAAAATGCAGTTGCTTTAATTTAAGTAAATAGGACAAACTAATGTTCTTCGGTTGATGTCCCAAATATTGTTTTTTCCGTGGCCGCAGGGTATTTAAATCAGATCCTGTCCCAATTCTTGGACTGTAGATGATCCACTGGGACTGTTTTTAATATTAGAAATAAAATCTTTGTGGGTCGTCTGCGGAACATGTCTTCTCTCCTGGTCTCAATCTCAATGTCTCAAAAAGACGCTCCACAGTATAAGACCCACTGTACAAGTGGGTCAACCGCAGAAATCCATTCTTCCTCCCTCTTCATCCTCTCCTCCACCATTACCTCATCCTCCCATGTCTCCTCCCCACGTGTCTCTCCTCCCCTACCGCATCCCTCCACCCTCGCACCTCCTCCTGGTGACGCTGGACCGGAGGAGGATGAGGAGGAAGGAGGTGTTGAGCATCAGCTGCACAAACCGCCTCTTCCTCCTCTAATTACTTCCTTTTTTTTTTTAACTTCACGTATTTCACGAAGACGTATGTGAGTCCTGGACGTCACCGCAGCATCAGGATGGACTGAGACATGTGACGTTTTATTTGAGCTCAGATCGGAAACACAAACCATCACCGGAAGAGATTTCAAACATCAGTCGAATCGATTATCTCTGGAGGAACCGCTGCTCTCCTCTGTCCCCCTGGAGGGCTGCTTCATTTCCGACGAACGAATAGAGAAAGACTGGAGCGGGCGGAAACGATGCGAGAGGAGCGAACGGTTTGATTCCCGATGAGACAGGAGCGGCTGCTCGCCGCCGGCAGGAGGCCGAGGGCGGGCGCGAGGCAGCGGCAGCAGGGATCGGGAGGGGTCGGTAACATCATCAGCAACGTCCTGAAGAAGCGGAACGGGATTTCCAGGAGTGCTCCCCGGCTGCTCTGCACCTTAGAGCCAGGTGACCCGACACAACACGCACGTACCGAACCCACGAGCAATGCATGGCACCGTTCATCACTGGGTTGAAGTCATTTGGGGGAAATGAAGCATTAAAGGCTGTAACATCATTAGTCTGATGCTGCATCCTGTGGCAGCTAAAGGGATAGTTCACCCACAAATAAAAATGCACTCTATATACCCACCACTGTGGCGATGGACGGGTGGGTGAAGTGTTCTGGAGTCTCAGGGGTAAACGGAGCTGCAGCCAAATCCAATACAGTTGAAATAAATGATTCTTCAAACCTTAATAAACAACAGAAAATGAACATAAACTGTTCCTGTGGTGTCATGCAGAGGTCTGCAAGCCCCAGCTTTCATTTTTGGGTGAACTGTCTATCCCTTTAAACCACCCTACTCATGATATTGTCTTCATTGTTATCTTAGTTTTTCCATAATTATAGCTGATATCACCCACCCACGTTTTATGTAATGGTGTTTAAAAAAAAAGTCTTCAAATGTACGTCCTGTGTTTGAGCCACTTCAGGTGTCACACGAGCTCATTCTGATCACAGTCAAACAGACTGAAAGACCTTCAGTGAATTCAAAATGAAAGCATCAGAGGATACGAGGCTTTGACCCAACAACTGAGGACAAGTTGCTCATTAATATTTCACCTCATACTTTGTTGAATAGACATTCAGGAGCGTCAAGAAGAAAGATCCAGATCTCACTTTTGCACTGGACCGTGCACAGTTTGATAATTTACAATCTCGTAGTTTGATGGAAGTCACAGATTCTGGAAACACATCAGACAAACAGCCAGTGACCTCTGTCTGCCTGATACTGGAATGAATGAGCATTGGTTTTCACACCTTTATATGTTTTTTTTATTTTCAGTTCAAATATATTTATCCACGCCTCAAACTCCTGCCTACTTACCCTCTATGGGATCTAAACCCTTCCACTTTTCTCAAGTCTCACAAAACCCTTTTAGACTCAGCATGACAATGACCTGCATGAAGTCTTGTACTACATTTGTTGGACTTATTTCTACAATAATGAAGAACTTTGATTTATTGCTAACATACAATTTAAATACAAATAAAGAAAACCAACATCAGATATTTACGCTGGACTGGGAGCAGTTGTTTATCGTGGGTATCAACTAAATAGAGGTCATATCCATCTCACTGGTTCAGTTTAACCTGCACAGAAATGAATCTGTCTCTTGTTGTGATGGAGTTCGGCCTCTTCGCTTCGTGTCAGCGGTGTTGGTCTAATCTGTGACCGGGAAGTGGGAGGGTTTTTCCGCGTTAATCCTCTCACACGGCTCCGAGAGGAACCCGCAGAATAAAGAATGGCGCAGGAGGAAACGACAGAGACGGAGCGAACAGGTTAAACACGTTCTGTCTGTTATTATTGAAGGATTGAGGTTTTTTTTTTTTTTTTTTACTGAAGAGAGAATCGTCTTGTTCCTCCTCGTGTGACCGGGAGCGGCGGACTCTCTCCGGGGGGACTGAGCTGCTGGAGGAGGAGCAGGAGGAGAAATGGCCGCAGTTTGGCTCAGAGCCGAAAAACATGTCGGGACATTCCCTCTTAACTTCAGATCAGGATTTAATTTCCGTTTGGTCCTCGTGGAAGGAAGGAAGGAAGGAAGGGGGGGTAGCTCTAGATATTCTCTAAACAAGTTTGTGTACTTACAGTGACGCGAGTTCAGCACCACCAGGAAATGGACAGCGACACTTAACTGCATCAAAATACAAATCAATTAAAAAAAGACGCTGAGCTGAATATTCAATTAAGACTTTTCCTATTGTTGAGACGTTAATTTGGGTTTTAATATCACATATATGTCACATTTATGGGAAAATAACTCAATGTATGGGTTGAACATGGCTCAAAACTCCACCTAGTGTTTAAAACAGCCCTGGACCTCGTCAGGCCTGATGTTTACATAGATTGGGACGTTTCTGCATCGTGGAGTCCAGCTTTAGATTGTGTGTGTATTCAGAGACGTTCCCCTTCCTCTCCTGTCCCCAAACCTTCTTTGGAAACTTTGGTTTTCTTTACTTTTTTAAAAATCTGGTTCAAGGTGAGTGAAACCGAATGTGTTCGATTGTTCGCAGGAGTTGATACGAGGCTGAAGTTTACCATCGAACCATCGCTGGGAAAGAATGGATTCCAGCAGGTGAGACCTCATCAGACTGCTTCTAATGATTATCTGTGTGTGTGTAATAATGTGATAATTCTGACTAAGATGATTAAAACCATGTGTATCTTTTCTCCCCTGCAGTGGTACGACGCTCTTAAATCAGTGGCTAGGCTTCCTACTGGGATACCAAAGGAATGGAGGAAGAGGGTACGTAACCATAAACTAAGTATGACTTTGTTTCTCTTGTTGGAAAAGGAGTTCATTACTGTAATCAGTTTACCTCCTGGGGAATAAAGGTGTAAGTTGATTTAGCAGTTCTATTGCAACCTTCTAAACGGTTCTAAAAGTTGTCATTGCCAAACCCTTGTGGCAAAGAGGCTCGATATTTTACAGTTTAACCATAAACTTTATGATAAAAAAACTATAAATAATGATAAAAGACTTAAATTAAGAAAATAAACATCCATTAGTGCTACAACAAGGAAAAGTGTGTTCCCTGTTTTTCATTATTAACCTCCAAACAAGAGTTTTTCAGTCTTCAGAGCTACGTCGATGTTAATAAGCAGCAACAGCACTTTGTCTACAATGCTTCATTTATTAGACATCTTAAGTTTCTGTCGTGGGACGTGGACAAGTGATTACTTAGATCTCTTCGGAGGAGATGAACAATGAAATCTTACAAAACAAATTGAGTCAGTGGGAAACAAGGGGCCTCATGGAGAAGAGCCGCAGGAAAGAGACTCCAGAGAAAAACAGTACAGCTGTAATATTTGTGTCTTGTCTGACCTGATACTGGAATTATTCCTCTGACTGTCTTCTTCTCCTGAATAAGTCTTAGTTGTTTTTGTGATTCATTGTGTATCTACTGTTGTCGTCTCTGTGCAGGTCTGGCTAACACTCGCAGACCAGTACCTCCACACCATCTCCATCGACTGGGACAAGACGCTTCGCTTTGCCTTTAACGAGCGAAGCAACCCAGACGACGACTCCCTCGGCATCCAAATCGTCAAGGTAGCCAGAGTGCATTTTAGTGTGGGGGGGTCTGGGGTTGAGCCAAATGTGTTTCCACATGAGCGCTCGGCAATTTTCAACACGTCAATTGAGACAGAGGATGAATAAATGGCTGTCGTCAAAGAACGTCATCGCTGCGTCATGGAAACACCAAAGCTCTTTTCCATTTCTCAATGACTCAACAGTGTAAATACATTAGGACAAAGTCCATTCTTCAGCCTCTCTGTGTTTGTCCTCATCTCTCCGTCCCAGTTAATGCATTGGCCTGTAATAAAAAAAATCTATAACTCTACGTCCTCCTCATGTCCAGGACCTACACAGGACGGGCTGCAGCTCGTATTGTGGCCAGGAGGGGGAGCAGGACAGGGTTGTGCTGAAGAGGGTGCTGCTGGCGTACGCCCGCTGGAACAAAAGTGTGGGCTACTGCCAAGGATTCAATGTACTGGCTGCTCTCATACTGGAGGTCACAGAGGGCGACGAGAGCGATGCACTTAAGGTAGCTACACACAGTGATCTGTGTCATTGTGTTTAAACTGAACTCTATGTCGCTGTATGTCACCTGAGTAATAATTCAACTTCACTGTCCCTTCTTTTGTTGTCAGGTGATGATCTACCTGATTGACAAAGTTCTGCCAGAGAGTTATTTCGCCAACAACCTTCGAGCATTGTCAGGTAAACACACACAAGCTGAAGGGAACACTGTGTATGTACAGTTTCATCTTCTGTAAGATGTTGTTGACAAACTTCTGAAAGTTAAATATAGTCTGAAGAAAGAGCCACATGGACTTTGTGTCTTCAGCGAAGGAGGACATGTTTGCTAGTTGCTCTCATTATATCGTGACTTTAGCGCATTTGAGCATCAACAATGTGAAGTAAAACGATTTGAGACTTTAAGGATCGTCATGTTTAATCTCTCCTCTCAGTGGACATGGCGGTTTTCAGGGACCTGCTGCGTCTGAAGCTGCCCAGACTCTCCCAGCACCTGCACCACCTCCAGAAAGCAGCCAACAGAGAGGCTGGAGGTAAAGATCTCAGAGTGTGTGTGTGTGTGGAGGCAAAAGAAAAGTTATAATCCAGTAGTGTAATCATTCAGCCTGTGTCTTTCCTCCAGGCAGTTACGAGCCTCCGCTGACCAACGTCTTCACTATGCAGTGGTTCCTCACCATGTTCGCCACCTGTCTGCCGGCGTCCACCGTGCTGAAGATCTGGGACTCGGTTTTCTTCGAGGGGTCAGAGGTGCTGTTTCGAGTCGCCCTCGCGATCTGGGAGAGACTCGGAGAGTAAGTGGTTTAAAGTTTCTATTGTTCCCCCATTGTGTCCGTCACCAGTTTTCTGTGTTAGTATTCAACGTTGTGTCATCCTGCTGACAAATAAACAAACCGACCTCCCTCTGTCTGAGCAGGAGGATCGAGTACTGTCAGACAGCAGACGAGTTTTACAGCACCATGGGTTGTCTCACTCAGGAGATGCTGGAGCACAACCTCATCGATCCTCCTGAACTCATGCAGGTACGAGATAAACAAAACCACTCGCGCCTCCTCAAATACTTTTGTGAAGTTGTAAAATTAATATATTTGTACTTCTCCCACCTCTCCTCTGTCCGTCAGGAGGTTTATTCCATGGCAGTGTTTCCTTTCCCTCAGCTGGCTGAGCTGAGAGAGAAATACACGTACAACATCACTCCGTTCCCTACCTCGGTCAAATCCAATGGAAGGTTTGTTTTTTTTCTTTCCATTTGTAAAACAAGGTGCGATAATGACAGACGTGGTGATGAGGATGTTATTCTCTCGTTCCAGTGGTGGTCTGGGCGGCTGGGAGAGCGATGACGATGCCGAAATGGACGACGAGGACTCTGTGGTGACCGCGCTCGGTTGTCTGGGGCCCCTGGGCGGCCTCCTGGCCCCCGAGCTGCAGAGATATCAGAAACATCTGAAAGGTCAGTTATGCAGACGCAGGAATCCACACACAGGATTTAAATGGCACAGTTTCAGGCGAGCTGTTGCCTCAAACCCTCATGTTCTGCCCCGCAAATTTAACTCTAAGTACAAACTCCATCTCTGATCTGTTTCCTCCAGACAAATCCCCACTTCCTCTTCCTCCAACGACTCTCACAAGCATGAAAAAAGGAAAACGACCTCAGGGACTTAGTTTAAGATCTGAAGCAGTAGGCGTCACACTCCGGAGAGAGATTTAACTGTGACTTGACCTGGTTCAAAAAGCTAAACTTAAGAAGAGAACTACGGCAAACGATAATCAATAAACATCACAGTCACTCTGGAACAGCAGTGAACAAACTACACGACCAGCTGTCACCTGCCTTTACAGGGTCAGACGCTGGATCTGCTCTTTGGAGCACAATAGCAGGATGAGCTGCGGGAATAAGAAAGAAAAAATTACTTCGAAACGAGAGGATTTTCTCTTTCTGATGCTTAGTTTTGTGTCTCGAGTTGTCAGCTGATTAAAGAGGATGGAAGCTGAAATAAGTAAGAAAAGGCCTCATTGGATTATGTCCGATTCATGTATTTTTTAGCTCTTGACCCTAATCTCTTAAACTCTCCCGTGTCGGAGTCTGATGTTGGGATAAAAGAGTTAACGCGACCTCTCTTTCACCTCCAGACCAGCGACCAGAGCAGGGAAACTTCGCAGAGCTGAGCCCGGGCGCGGTGGGAGCCGGAGGGGCCGGCGGTGCAGGAGGAGGTGCCAGGGCGGAACATCAAGCCGCCATCAACAGCATGATGATGGAGAGGATGAGCACCGACATCTACGCCCTCAAGAAGCAATACACTCGCATCAAGAGGCGGCAGCAGCAGCAGGCTATGCAACTGTACATACGCACAGGTGAGGGGAAGAGAAACTTTTTTAAAGTCTCTGCATTTTCTAATTATTGTCTTTATACATTATTATTTTTTCACACAATGTTAAAGAAAGTGAAAGAAATCCTGGATCTGCCCCCTGATGGCAGGTTTAATGGTTTTAATGGGTAAGGTGCATGAATCAGTACAGAAGAAGTCCAATTAAATCAAATTGTGAATAGACATAAAGATGAAATTCTTCCCGGGAACATTGAACAACCACACAACAGAAAGTTTTGTTGTTGATGATGATGATGATGATGATGTGTGACTCGTAGGACTTGGACCCGAAGTTCCCACAAGTCCCGGAGTTCTTCCGGAGCCTCCCAGCAAACACAGCGACAGTACCGACCACCGAGCCGAGGGTACTGAGGTCGAACCTTCTGAAACCGGGTGTTCTGGGAATTATTTCTGCAATGCTTCATGGGTGTTGAAGAAGCAATCGGATGATTTAATGAGGGGAGCAGACTGAAGTGAAATCAATACGCTCTGCTCGCAAATTAAAAAAGCCCACGCTCTTGAGTAAAGGAAACAAAACATGGATATCTTGCGCTGATAAGGCTTGACTGTAGCTGGGTCAACTGGTGATGGTTGGAGGTGGTTCAAAAAAATATATATATATACAAACAATTAACAATAATGAATATTTATGTGGAGACACATGTCACGACTGTCAGATGGTTTAATAACTTCCAGTTCCAGTAAATCTCTATTTGTGCTAATTTGTAAGCTGCTGTATTATTATTACATTTCAATCATAACAATAACTAAACCCCATGTGCTTCTAAGTTTATATTAGAGCCTGATACACGGTGATAATATCTCCAGTATTGACACGTGTCTCCAGTTATAATTGATTTAACAACTGATTCTTGTTTCTGTGGCTGTTTTGTTTTCTTCTGCTAACCTTCATTAACAAACTCTTGGTTGTTGCAGCTGCTCCCAGCCAACGCTCCATCTCCGAGGCTTGTGTAACAGCATTACAGCGAGATCTGATTTTATTCCCTCTCAAACACGAGCGTCTGTGCTCACACTCATCTCCCGTCGATCTAATCACAGCATGAACACTCAGCTCAGCGTCCATGAAGTCGTGTTTACATTCACACTGTTTCCTGACTCTTGGGGAAAAAGGCCCCAAAAACACTGTGTGCATATTATATAATGCTAACGTTTGTAGCTGGAGAGAGAAATGAGGATGCTCTGGATCAGTCGTTCACGAACTGTAAGACGCTTGATGGATAAACCCTCAGAGGAAAAGTCAGGACGCCCTCTGGTGTCAGCTTTGTGCAACAGCTTTCATTGACTTGCACCATCAACAGAATGTTTATCAGTGAAATCAATGTCTCATCATAAATCTCACTGTCTCACGCTGAGACACAAATATAAGAGTTTATATTATGTCTCCTTTACCCCTGTTTTTGTGTTTGTCCCCTTCACCTTCCATCCAGACAAGTGCCCGGCCACCCGTGTCCTCGCCTCCCAACTCAACCCCTCCAGCGCTGTGATCAACCACCTCCTTCTGGGTCACACACCAACCGGAGGTCCCCGCGGCTCCAGACCCACGTCCACCACTAACCCCTCCACTCTACCAGGGGTTCGACCGGCTTTCCTGCCCCAGGGTCAGGGCTCCCCGGCCAGGCCGCGCTGGGGCTCGTTCCCCTCCAACAGCCCTGGATCTCCGGGGGGCGGCGGCGGAGGCGGCGGGTCACCTTGGCGTGCTCATGTCCGTGTGCATCGGAGGAATATGGCCAGGGCTCGGGCAGAGCTGGGCTTTGGAGATTCGGAGGAAAGGGAAGATGAGGAGGAAGGAGGATCAGTGAGGTTTGAGAGTGAAGAGGAGAGGAAGAACGAGGAAGATGATGATGATGATGATCATGAGGAGCAGAAGGAAGGAGGAGACTCCTCTGTCTCTCCATCTACTGATCTCTCTGTTACAGGGTCTGTATGTGAGGAGGCTCCACAGGCTGCAGAGGAGACACCAGCAGCAGAAGTTGCAGAGGTGGAGGTGCAACTGGCGTCTCTGGATATAGAGGACGAGTCGAACCTGACCGTCCCCGTCGATGCAAACCCCGATAAACAACCCACCATCCCAGAGTCTGCAGCCCAGGTCCCTCTGCTCCCTCCCCCGCCGTCCTCACACAGACACAAGGAGTCCGACTCCTCAGGTTCAGAGAGAAACGCTGGCTCTGTCTCCTGCATCCCTTCTTCCACCTCGAGTCCGCCGCCCTCCCCCGTCCCAACGTCGGCTTCTCTCGCACCGTCCTCCTCATTCTCACCAGACTCCACTTCCTGCCTTCCATACTCTTCATCCGCCAACAGCTTATCTACTCTCTCTCTTCCCGCCTCCTCCACCTTTTATAAAACCCCCTGCCCCTCCACGCCCTCACTCTCCTCTGTCTCCTCATCCTCCAAATCACACATCTCCTCCTCCCCGTCAACGCCAGCGTTCATCTCAGCCAGCTCCGCCCCGAAACAGCAAGTCTTCTCCCCGTTCCCTTGCGTGAAGCAGCCCAGGAGGTCGGCCGCAGCCAGAAACCTCGGTCTCTACGGTCCCACGTCCAGAACCCCCACCGTACACTTCCCCCAGCTCAGCCGCAACCTCAACTGCAGTGGTGCTGCCGGCACCACCAGGAGGCGATGAAAACCTGAGCACGCTGGAAACACAGTGAATCATTCGATCATTACACCACGTTGCCTCCTGCATACCGAGAAAACAACCTCTATCTTATTTAAAGCTGAGAAATTAAAAACGTGCGGAGAAGACGGTGGGAACTTCGAGGGTCACAAAGACAAAAGGGTTCATCCGTAAATTTACAAGCCATTTCAGACGAACATTAAAAAAACATAGTTGACTATTGATCAGATCTGTGAAGCAGCGGAGACGTCACAGTATCAGACTCTATCAGTGACCTATGCAGGTTCTTCTTGACCATAATCTACTCATCAAAATTAATATATAAAAGTTAAATGCTTTATTGACTCTCGCATCAGTTCTGGACGTCTGCATCTGTTCCACAGCAGCGTGATCCTGAACGTGGACTTTCTCTGGACTGACACGAGGAGATGCTGCTCCGGACTCACGTTTGCTTCTGGACATATCTGTCAACACAACCTTTTTCCTATGCGAGTACACAACAGCCATCCAGTTGTTTCTATGCCAAGTATTTAAAGAAATAACTCCGCAAGAAACTAAATATTACCTAAGACTTAATGTAAGTTAAGAATCGAAACGTTGTGAGTGAATGTGCCCAAAAACCTTTTTTTTTTTTGTCCTGAAGCTCTTAACTTATTTTTTTTTTTGTCCGTGTCTCCAGTGTTGAACACGAGGAATGTAAAGTCTCCGTCAGTGATGAAGTGCGATTGACAACAAGGCGGAGTATTTTAGAATGTCGCTCTCCAGAGCACCTACCTCCACCAAGGCCCGACAGTCTCCATACTATGAAAACACAATTAAATCAACTAGATGCAGATTTTAATTTGGATCTGCACCAAATTGCACGCGCTCGTAAATATCAATCCACGAAACATTTCTGGTTTTCATCAAGATCCATGATTTATTCTCGATCTCACAATGTTGAAGAAAGTGATAATAAAAATAAATAAATCCTGTGTCGGCTCCCTGATGTCGGAGCTAAACCAAGATGAAACAAAGTTCTTCCTTGATTCAAATCCTTGTTGTTGTGTAATCCTGCTTAATGAAACTTGGTAATTCTACACACAGGACAAGGTTTTCATTCAGCAGCCGTATTTAAGTGGTGTTATATATGCAGTGACTGGAATGTGGTGCTTTATAGAGCAGAGGCAGAAAAAGTACTTGTACAACTCTTACTTATTTGTACTTTGAGGAGACAACATTAATAAATGTTGATTCAAAGTACAAATAAACCTTCTTGCAGGGAAACGTAGCACAGAGCTGCTGCTTGTCGTCCGCTGAAGGAAATGCAAATAAATGTTAGGAGATGGAAAAATCCCACTGTGGTCATTTGTGTCACGTCATCGGCTGGAAAAACTTAACAGGTTGTTAAATTTGATGACTTTGCATCTTGTTCCTGCTGCGTCCTGTGGTTTGTGGTGAAATGTCGCTTTATTATTTTAAGACACGAATGTGCTGAGTGACGTGAGGGTGAAGACGTGTTCAGGGGAAATGACACCATACGAGCCTTCATTCTTAGGAAGGGGTCTCACATCAAAATAGAGAAATGACTCAATTCCCTGTTACGTGCAGTTTTACTGGTTAGCAACATGTTCTGCAGGCCCTGTGTTCTGTCCATAGATTAAATAAAGATGGAGGACGTGTCTCCGCCTCCTCCCGCGGCCAAATGAGGCCTAAATCATCTCGGACGTCACGTGGAGTCAGAGTATCGACGTCCCACCGAGACGAGCACTCGACCAATCGTGAGTCGACCTTCAAATAATTATTTGACTTTTCAGTTTGGTCCATCTGTTAACATGAAGGGGGTAAATGATGTGCACTGCAGCCAGGGGGCGATCCAGATGTCTTGGCTGTCACATCATCTACATTTAAATTCACTGTATGAGTCCAACTTGAAAACAAACTGTGCAAAGGAGAAACTTCTTTCTCTGCTCGTGTGACACAAACGTCATTTTTCATCATTGAAATTAAAAAAACGTTTTAGAAATTTAATGTGGAATAATTCTCAGGATGTTTTCACTAGTTCGTTTAATCTAAATTATAAGAATTGTAGTTTTCTTTACCCCAGAAAAGACCCTTTATATTGAAATACTTTATATTTACATGGAGGGGACCCTCTCTACGGAGGCCGCCATGTTTTTTACATTAGTCCAGACTGGACAATCTAAACTCCTTTTGAGTTTTTATGACAATTAAAGTTTACCACAGGTTCTTTTTCATGTTTGGAAGGAGAGGGGGGGGGGTGAGGGGTGTTCAGCTGCAACATGACACTGAACCTTTAAGAGACATGTTGGATGGAAAATCTGAGTTGGTTCCTCCTCCGCTCTCTCTCTCTCTCTCTCTCTCTCTCTCTCTCTCTCTCTGTGTGTCTGATGAGTAACAAAACACATCAAGTGTCGTCCAAAAAAAAAACAACAACTCACATTTTATTGTACATGATTGAAAAACTGCAGTATCCAGGGATCTACGTACCTCATTCAAATAACGGCATCATTAAAACTCCAGAGGTAACTGTGGGAGTCACCTCTGCTGCACAGTAACAGGATTATTCCAGCGACGGTAAAGTTTATCTACAGATGTTGTTAACGTGTTAAAAAACGAGTGGAGGCAAAAGAAAAAAACAATAACAGGACTAAAGATTTCTTTTCAGTCGAACCACAGGAGGTGAATAAATTATCAAGAGGCACCATCAAATTATTACAAACACGTTTTCTATCGATAAACAGCTCGAAGGTGAGGATTCTACAGATTATTCATTACATGCCTATAAAAGGTAATTGAAATAAAGTCTAAATGATTCCTTCGTGGATTTGATGAAGTACATGTGAAGTATCATGATGTAACGAAGGTGAATTTATGATTTTATGTGTTAAGAGTCTCTGATTTTCTTCTTTGCCTCAACACAGAAGTTTTTTTCGTTGTTTCCGAAACTTTTTCGTGGCTTATTTGAGTTTTTATTTTAAAATGCGGAGAGACGTGTTTGTGTGTTCGTGTGCCGTGAACCCAGTCATGTTCATCACAGTTATGTTCGTGGAGACAGTCGAGATCTGTGACATTCATCGTCTTCAGTTTAGTTGTAGTTGCAGTGAAGTGCTGGTCGTGACCGAGCGGCTGGTTTGTAGGTAGTAGGTTGTTGGTCGGGAGGTCAGGGGGTCAACGCGCTGCGATGCGATCGATCCCCGGGTTGACGAAGGAGAAGTTCCTGAACATCGTCTGGTCGACGCTGTTGATGAGAGTCCGGTCGGCGCACGACAGCCGAGGCTTCTCGTTGATGAACTCTTTGTCAAAGTTGCTGCAGTCGCTGGGAGACGTCTGTGAGGAAAAGATTCATTATAGAGAAAGAACAGAGATGTTCAACTTCCCGAATATCTCTGCTGGCTCTTTAGTCGAGCTCTAATTTGTTTAAAACATTTCCAACACAAGGTTCTGTCTCGTGGTTTGAGCTTGTGCCCTGCTGCACTTACTAAGGTTGGCCTGAAGGGCGGCACCACCTGCCGTTGCTCCAGGGCGTTCCAGTCGGTGCTGCGGAAGAAACCGTGCTGCCTGATGTTTCCCTTCACTCCCAGCCGCTCCTCAGGTTCTCTGACGAACAGCTGCAGCACAAACACGTGACACAGCAGCTTTACATACGTGTCAGCGACATCAATATCCTGGAGTTTCCTCAGTTTTAAAAAAGGCAGCTTTCTTTTTCTTTGAATATTTTCTCTATAGTTCTTCTTATATTTTTTTATTCTAAATGTTGAACGACAGTAAAAAATCAGTTGGAGCCTGAAAATGATT